TAAAAAAAACTCAAATGTGTTTCTAAATTTGTTGTTCAAACAATTAGTAAAAATCAATTGACTTAACCATATGTTATCTAAAATGTGAAAAGAAACAAAATATTTCTATATTATTTGTAAAATATATGTATTTCATGAAATATGAAAGATTTCATTCTTATTATAAGGTTTGTAACTCAATAAAAAAAATAAATTTTACATTCAATCCAACTTCATTTTTTTTTTAAGAACCACACTTTAAACTTAAAAAATTATCTTAATTTTTTTATTTATCAATCTATGACGAAGAGAAACGTTCAACAAATAGTATCATAAAATCTCAAATATTTCTATACGATGAACAAAAATCAAAATGTATATAAACTCACGAGACCGAGATAAATTACAAAAAGTAATGATAAGTAATCATACTATAAAGATAGAGTAAAAAAATTATTGATAAATTTTATCGTCTAAATCATAATTGGTTATTTAGATAACATGATTTATATAATGGTCACATATATGTACGTAAATGTTTTTTTAAAAAACTAAATAAATGAGAACTATCGGTATCGAAGTCATTGGTAATCACTTCATATATTTAAGCATTATTAATACTAAATCACAAAATTATTCTATTTTAAATAAAATATCATTTTGTAACTACAAAAAATTAGTTGTTTTTCATACATAAGTACTAAACTACTATAAAATTATTAAATTTAATAAGTTGTAAAACAAAAATTCGGGCGAATGCGCGGGTCACATCATAGTGTAACAAATAAAGAAGATCCAAATTTTTAGCTTATTAACTCATTACTTTACGAGATTATAAAAATATGTATTACAAAAAAATATAAATAAAAATCATGCGTATATATTCGGATATTCATCTAGTAAAATTAAAAGCCTAGAATTTAAATGGCACCGGTTGAATTCAACTCTCCAATTAGTAACACAAATCAATGCAAATTTTTTGATAGTACAAATAGCAATACAAAGATGATTGTACAACAAGAAACAGTACAAATAGTACAAATTGTAATATAGTTGTATGCAGTTGTATGAATCTTGTTAAATTGTAAAATTTAGCATAATTTTTATAGGTTTTTTTTTGGTGAAGTATGGAAGAATAATATGAATCTTAAATGGTAATACCGGAATATGCAATATGACTAAAATTTTGAAAAGTTAACTAATTAAATAAAATTATGAAAAATAGAAGTTGCAGTTTTATTAATACTCTTTATAATCCTAAGAAATGAATATTTTATTTCTTCAAATATTATCTAGTTGAAAAATGTCAACCG